ATCCAAATCATTTTATGATTATTTTACATTACTAACACCTCTCAAACAAAAGGGCAGAAACAGCTCGACAGTTTGAAGTTTATGAGCTCATTTACCATTACTCGCAGATTTCTTTCCTTCATTAAAGTGATGTGAAGTGCCGTATCTCCGTCATTATCCACCGCATTCACACTGGCTCCGTGGTCCAGCAACATTTCTACCATGACTGGGTACCCTTTATAGGCGGCTAAATGAAGCACCGATTGATTTGCAGCGGTTGGAGCATTGATGTCACATCCCGGCTGTGAGATATAAAAAGTACTCTCATCATCAACATACCTTTAACAGTTGGCGTTTAGATTCACTGTTTAAAATGTTTTGTAAACTTTTGCTGAAGTTGTCGATAAGAAGGAGAGACCGAGCCGTTTTAATATCGAGACCTGCCTGTGTCACTTTCTGGTGCTCTGAAGCAAGAAACTTTCCTTAACGCCTTCCACTTCCCAGGAGAAGTCACCCTAACGAAATATCATGGAATATGCAATGATGAAGTAGTATCTCAACCAGGGAAACATTTTTCAGAATGTGAAAACAAGGATATCAGTTTTGGTGGTATGGACCACTTGGACAGTGCAAGAACTCTGCCTAAGACCTATCAAAATGAACTTTTCGGTGTGAACCGCTGGCCGTAGATATCAACCTCTCGTTCCTAGTTTTTACTGGTGGGAGAATAGATATAAAAGCAACACTGATTTCGTGTTAGTCATCCCAGTCAATCACAGGCAGAAAAATAACACTCCGTATTGGTTAAACACAAGCGACACTGTTTCAAATGTCTTAAAAACAGTTACACCCCAAAATCGGTAAGAAATTAACATAATACTACCTTTTTTAAAAGCATCTTAGCTATCTCCCGGTGATCATTCAATGCTGCAATATGAAGGGTTGTATATCCATCATCTTTGGCAACATTCAAGGAATTTCCGGTTTTGGCAAAAATTCTTTCCACGGCGCTAAGGAGTTTAAATGACAAAATAGATTTACATTGCACTAAATGTCAAGGCGAATGTCGTACTGAGGTGACAGCATAAAAATAAATTTGAAGTTGATATTTGGTGTGGTTTCTTCCTGATAACTCAGATCGCCCCAATTGTTCAAATTTTTAGATAAGAAATCCAGACCAAGTGGTCTGAGTTTTGACCTGAATTGCATAAGCTTAGCTTTCTTACGATCCAAAGTATGTCCCAGCCGCAGTTGTTTCGGGAAAATGCGACGATCAGTTGAAATCTAGGCTTTTCAAGAGGATACATAATTCAGCGTTCAGATGCTTAACACCTGAATCAGTTGGCTATTGTATACTTACTTTGATTAAGCCGTCTAACTACATAGTGATGAAGTTATATACCGTTTATTTCCCTTTAAAACAGCAAGTTGAAGATAATTGAAACCTCTCCTGTTACAAAGAGTGAGACAAATTCTTGGGCAGTCCAACAGCATATCAACCATGTTGTGGTTTTGTAAAATGATGGCATAATTGAGTGGGGTTTCACCTGCCTCGTCCTGAAAATGAGTCAAAGCGTGATGTTAGGAGTCAACTGAAACAATTCGACTTTTTTATACGTTGTTTGGACTGGCAGCTTGAGCAGCGGCATATTTTAACACAAAAATGATGGGCTGAAAAAAATGTAAAATTGGAACAAATGTCATAATAGTCCCGTGAAGGGAGATTTAAATTCGACCGATGAGATGATCTTTCATGTACGTTTAGGAGAAAACGTACATGAAAAATTCAGCGTTCAGATGACTGATTCAGGTGTTAAGCATCTAAACGCTGAATTTTTGTATGACTAGGAAGTTTGATCATATTACTCCGACTTTAATTGATCTGCATTGGCTTCCCATTAGGCATCGTATTGTTTTTAAGATTCTTCTTTTAGTTTTGTAAATCTCTTAATGGTAAGGCCCCGTCGTATTTGTCTGATCTTTTAACTTATCGTTGGAGCTCTTATTCTTTGCGATCTGTTAGTAATGGCGACCTTGTAGAGCCATCTTCAAAAATGGGAACTTATGGAGATCGACCGTTTGCAGTATGTGCTCCTAGATTGTGGAACTCTTTGCCTCTTTCAATACGTAGGAGTTCTTCTGTTGACATTTTTAAAAGCGTTTTGAAAACTTATCTTTTTAAAATGTTTGTTAGTGAATGTTAGTAAATGTNATAATATCATGAAAGATTATATGCTCTAGTATTTTACATGGCACAGCTGTCAATGAAATTGGTCGGTAGTTGGCAGGTTGATGTTTATCACCTTTTTTGAAAACAGGAGTGATATTTGCTTTCAGCCAGTCAGCGGGCAGTTGACCAGTAGCTACAGATTGGGTGTAGAGAAATTGGAGAAAAGGTGCAATTTCAGCAGCCGCTTCTTTTAAAACCCGGCACGGAATAAGGTCAGGACCATTAGCTTTGTTAGGATTGATATTGGCCAGTAGTTTGATTATGCCTGATACATCAAACACAGAAGATGGAATGTCTGGATAAGGGCTAGGGCCAAGTGATGGTATATTATCAATTTGTTCCTGTGTAAAGACAGACTTAAATTGATTACTTAGTAGGTTAGCCTTCCCAAGACTGTCAGTCACATCAGATCCATTATCTTTAAGTGGTGCGACTCCAATATCATGTGATTTTTTTGATCTTATATAAGACCAAAAACGTTTTGTAGCTTTTGGTTTACTTGAAGGTTCCTCAGTAAATGACAGAAGCTCAGGAACATAATCATAATGGGCAAGTTTTTTCTTGATAAGTTTCCTTAGATCTTTAAAATTTTTCCAATCATAAGTATTCCCAGAATACTTATACTCTTAGCTTTATTGTATAGCCTCTTTTTCTTCCTGATCAGTCTTCTAATAGTATTGGTTAACCAGGGCAGATTCCATCTACTACCAAGAGTCTTTTGTGGAATATGCTTTTTGATAGTGTCGTTGACTATGTCCTTAAAAAATTGGTAATTTTCAGTTACCATCTTAGAAGTGGCTTTAGACACAAGATATTCATCAAGATGATTCTTCAAGTCATTTCTGACTGCTGACATGTTCCCTTTTTTTAAACATGAAGACTCTTCTTGGTTTCTTTTTATTGAGTGCTGGCTTCAATTTTACGTAAAAGACAACAATGTCATGGTCACTCATTCCACATTCAATTTTGACAGTGGATATCATATCTGGATTAGTGGAAAAGACTAAATCAAGGATATTGTCACCCCTTGTTGGCTTCTTAACATGTTGAGTCAAGGAGTGATCGTTGATAATGTCCAGCCACTTGTTGTTTACCTTAAGACAATATGATGAGCTGGATTGTATGAGATAATTATCATCAGACCACGAAATGCCAGGCAAGTTGAAATCACCGGTCAACAAAACATTGGGTAAGGTTGGACGAGATTTTTCAGATAAATGACACAAAGCATAATCTAATGCCTCCAATGAGTTGATATCTGAATCCGGTGGTCGATAAATTGAGCCAATATAGGGGGGCTTCATACCAGCAATTTCCAATTTAGACCAGATCCCTTCATAATTTCCAGATAATTCATGCTCTTGGGAGACTATTAGATCAGATGAAAAAGCTGATAGTACTCCTCCAGCATGCATGTTCCTGTCTTTTCTGAAGATCGTATACCCCTTGTCAACAATTTCATTTGAGTAGATAGAATCGTCAAGATGTGTTTCATTGACATTAATGATTGATGGTTTATATTGATCAACAATATTCTGGAATTCAAGACGTTTTGAGGTACTTCGAAGACTACAAGCATTAATTGATAAAACTCGAAGTTTGTTTCCATTGAGACGTCGATGACGTTTTGATAGGTTTGACTGTGGTGTCGAGGATGATGCTAGGGGTTCAGATTGGCTTGAAGATAGGGACTCTGAGCACAGAGTGGAGAAAGAATTATGTAAGGACAAGTCAAGCTATAATTCAGGCTCAGAGTAACTCGGCTGGTCACAGTTAACGTAGAGCCAAACATACGATGTATTTGCTACAGTGTTCTAAGTTTCATCGCCCATCGAACAGCATTTAGTATGATAACAATGGTCACATACATCGCATTGCACTCCTTTCTGGTTGACTTTTACTGGTTTAGTACAAGCCCCACATGGATATCTCCAGTTTGGTCCAGGATCAGGCTGAATATCACCGCTTAAGAGTAAAATAGAGAGCAATAATAGCCCAGAGTTCGAAGATGTTGACGAACTCAGTGATATCTTGGAATTAATTCGCTGGTAGAATGCTTCATATCCCAAGTGAAACAAGTTTTTTCTTCCCAAAGTAACGACCAAGGTGAGGTTGGATGATTCACGAGTATTTTCGGAGAAATGATGAGGTTTCTGTACATAAAAAATAGCTAAAACAGGTAAAATCAGTGGATTGAGAAACTTTGTCGCCATCTTAGCTGACCGCTGACCAGTACCAGTACATGGTACCGCCTGCTAAATTGATTTTAGAACTTCCCCTGAAGTGAAACTTTTCCTTTGATACAATATGTCTTCTTCCATTACGTTTTGCACGAGGGCTTTTTCTTGTGATATACCTTCAGCTGTTTCGCCTACCTTGGAATCGTCACTTTCCATCTCGTCTGATATCTCCACTAATGCTGATTCTTGTTGATCTCCACTGCAGATGTCGCTCATTAGCCGCCCTAAAAACGTATTCTCTGCCTGATCTGTGCTACTCGCGCTATCTGTTTGATTTTCATCACTATTTTCAGTCTCGTCTATCAGTGTTGCCACACTTGCAGAAGACGAAGCACCATCTACTTCAGGTTCGGTTTGCGATTCGCTGGATAACCCAAAACTTGGAACTTTTTTGTTGCTTGTAGTCCTACAGTAGATAAACAAAGTATCAGTTTTACATAAATATCGTGTAGAAAGCAATTTCCTTCATTCAGGTGACATCCTTTGGACTAACTATATGTCCCCTTATTGGTAACGTCCCTTCAGTTCAGTTCTGCCCACAAACTTTCTCAGTCGTGATCAAGTTTTGTGTTACCATGATAAAAATGTCATAGGAATATAGATGTTCTTTAATCAAAGATCCGCTCTACCATATTATAGAGGTATATATTTACTTCCAATAAAGAAACGACAACTTTGAGTTTTATTTACAAGACATGTTTCGACATTCTCATGTCATCTTCAGTTGCAAATGAGCTTTTAACGGTTGTACATTTGAATTTATATTAAGGTACGTTACAAATTACGTGTCAGGGCTTACGTTACAATTTGAATATTAAAAACGCGAAAAATGTAGATAGCGCGCGCTTGATTAGACCAAAAAAAAAATAATAGTAATCATAATAATAAAATAAAAGACCAAGGAACGACACAATTAAAAGGAAAGAGACAATTCTAGATGCTTCAATTGCTGATGAAGAATGGGTTTTTCCCACTTAATATGCAATGCCTCTTTGATCTTAATTTGGTATTTTGAAGCGGCAGAATCTGAGATCGTGAAACATTCTGTATGACAAGAGTCAAGACAGGCCCTTGATGATTGCAGGTACTTGTAAATATGCGAAGTTTTGTCCAACAAGAGGTGCTCCCGAACTCGTGTACAAATGTGGCGAGAGTTATTGTCACTCTGCTGTCTTGACGTCCTTTTGGTAACATATATTTACTTCTATAAATTTATACACCCGTTTTCAATTTTCAATTTTCAATTTGAAAATATAAGATAAATATGTGTACCTATTCTTTTCTCATCACAAAGCGTCTTATTGTGATGAGAACACCAAAAAAAACATTTCAAATTTTCAACGTTTTAGGAATGTAAATATTTTGAAAGCGAGGATTTGTCCACCGTAACACACAAAAGCACTTGAATACCCTCCACATGTTGCAATCTCTCGAATGAGTTGCTCAACTTCCGATCCTCGACATCTGTCCAGCGGTGTTTCCCCTGAGCCATTGATTTTGAACACATTAGCTCCATAGCTTAACAAGCAGCGTGAGACAGCGACAAAGGACGCACTACTNAGTGGCATAGTTACCGTTTATTTCCCTTTAATACAGCGAGTTGAAGATAATTGAAACCTTTTCTGTTACAAAGAGTGAGACAAATTCTTGGGCAGTCCAACAGCATATCCATTATGCTGTGATGTTCTAAAAGGATGGCAACGTGGAGTGGGGTATCACCTGCCTCGTCCTAAAAATGAGCAAAATCGTGATATTAGGAGTCCCCTCGTACCATTTGACTTTCGTTTACATTGTTTAGACTGGCAGCTCGGGTAGCAGTATTTTAGCACATAAATGATAGCGTGATAGGAGCATATCTCATAATAGTCCGGTTGGGGATACCGTAAATCTTCTTATAAGCCCCCCGGGGGGGGGGGGTGTAGTACGTTGCCGGATACTCTTTATTCAGACTTTCCGCCTGACACACCGCATGAGTGTGTATGCTTTACTGAATTTGCATACAACGTGTTATGCTTTTTAAATATGCGTAGTCGCAATGTAACGTGCCAATGGTATCACTTGCTAATATGTTACAGGGGGCTTGTTTATTTCAGGTACTTTGACGGTGATGGTTCGTTAGAGGCTTGTTTTTCATGTGCGTTAAGAGAAAAAGATTGAATTTAGGTTTAAATATTACTATGATATGCGTCCTAATAATACATGCAATGCTTGCTGAGATTAGTGGAAGAGTCACGGATTTGTATTCTCAGGTGAACTGATATCTTCAAAGGAATCCACGAACCTGTAGATCAACATTACACTCAGGGCACTGTGTCAGGATCCTAACTGCCGTTTCGTTTTTCATTTTCACAGCCAAATGCAAGGGTGTGCTCCTGTTGCTTAAGTGTCGAGCATTTGGGTCAAAACCTTTTTCTAGTAACAGTTTCAATGCTTCACCGGTTCTGTCCCTAAATGATCATAAGGATATAATTAAATAAAACAAAACATGGGGCATTTTAGCATTTTTAGTTTAACTTAAGAGGTTACTAATTCTGCTCTCCTATGTTCACGTGACTGTCTTAAAGAATAACATAGGCATGCCAAGCATGCAAGAGTTATTTTCTTTTGAATGGGTGGTTTCAATTAGGACGCTATGCAATTCACGTTTTCATTTTTGTAAAAGAAAAAGAGCGTTTACCTTCAAAAGATTCTATTAAAATATCGTTCAATGGAGAGCAAGAGAAAACTTCCCAATTTATTTTAAATAGACTCAGTTTTATGCTATTGCCACTGTCTGAATCATTATTAGGAAGAAATAACCTGCATTGGTGCCACGCTTCATTTAGTCCCTTTCTCAGCCGTTGTTTGGTCTCACCTCTGCAAGTTACTTGGTTTTCAGTGGTTTTCACGTTTTTGTTTGTTGTTGCGTTGTTTTTATTTAATTGGCTGCGAGGATGATTCAGGTTTTCGAAAGCAATCTCATGGTGAAGGAAACGAAAGGTAAAGTCATCTTCGAGTCGAATTATCAGTTTGACAGCAAATTCAAAATCACATTAATATTTACGTCAACTCACTGGTAGGTAGAGTGATGCATGGCTGTGTATCCCTGATAATCCTGTTTTTTTTTTTTGTTTAGAAAATTAAAGTATATGAATAAGTATATGAAGCTCCGTTCCTAAAAAGTGAGATACATGCAATATGAACATGTTAAAATAATAAACCAATCCTGTCGATCACGTGTCTGTTTGATACCCGTCATGCAGTGCTAGCAATTACAATGATTTGAACGGCGCAAAAAAAATAACAGCAATGATAAGAACTGATAAATGAATAAAAAGATTATTACCCACCAATATATCTCTATTAGCTCCTCTCTCAAGCAGTTCTCTGATGATGTCACAGTGCCCCTGGTGACATGCTACATGAAGAGCTGTGTGACCACTCTCCAGCTCATCTATCTGTGCAGAACGAAAAGACACAAACCTTTGAACACGTCAAATTTTCTAAAACGCCACCAACTTTAAACTTGATTCTGAATCATGAACTGATATAACAATTATGGTTTTTTT